ACTCGCAATTGCATATGGTTGGGTCCTTCGCCAGGCTAAGTTTGTTTTTGCCGCGGCCTGCATCGCCTGTTTTTTGGTTGCCCTGGTGTTGCCTTGGTGCGCTCGCCAGGAGTTTCAGTCTCGCCATGCGCTTCTTTCAGAAGCGAGTTCTACTTGCTGGCCACTCCGCAGCTATACCGATGGCTGGACCTCACAAGTGCGCGCCAGAGGAGTGTTTGCTCACCACCACCACCAGCCCCCACCCCTGCGCCCCTGCATCCCGCCATCCTTCCCGCTCGTTCCTCACTCCGCCCTGCCTCCTCCTCCTCCTCCTCCTCCTCCTCCTCCTCCTCCTCCTCCTCCTCCTCCGCATCCACTCACCCACTCACCCTCCTCCCGCTCTGCTGCTGTGGGGTGCCGCCCCCACTCGCCCCTTCCCTCGGCCCGTGCCTCTCCGCCCCAGAGGAGGACGAGCACGACAACGACGACGAGGAGGAGGAGATGGAAAACGAGGAGGAGGAGAAATGACGACGAGGAGGAGGAAAGCCGACGAGGAGGAGGAGGAGGAGGAGGAAAGCCGACGAGGAGGAGGATGGAAAACGAGGAGGAGGAGAAATGACGACGAGGAGGAGGAGGAGGAGGACGACGAGGAGGAGGAGGAGGAGATGGAAAACGACGAGGAGGAGGAAAGCCAACAGCGAGCAGGAAGGAGGAGGGAGGAGGGAGTAGGGAGGCGGGAGGCGGGAGGCGGCCGTCCGACGAGGCAGTAAGCATCGTTCGGAGCTACGGCACCTCTCTTGATGACGCCGGCCAGCCTGAGCTCCTGAGCCGGATTTTGTCGGGACATCTCACGCACCTTTCAACAATGGAACGCGGAGGTTATCTTGAGCGCTCTGGGGCGGCAAATGGCAGCTGGCTGCTTCCGCGGCTCCCACCACCGGTAGCCCAAGCACGACAATCGCCCGCACCACCACCACCACCACCAGCATGACAACCACCTTTCCCACCGCCGCGACACCCACCACGACCACCAGCGCTACCACCACGATCACCACGTTCAGCCCCACCGACCCCTGATGCCGACCACGACAACCACCGCCACTGCTAGCGCCCAACGCCCTGCGACTCGACGACCGGCAGCGCTCGCTGCCCGATCCCCCGCCCGCCCCTCGCCCTGCCCCCCCCCCCTCTCCCTGCTCCCCCTGCTTCCTCTGGCCGGCCGCCCTTGCGTTCAGCTCTTCTCGTCCCCCTCTTCCCGCTGCACCCGGGACCGCCGCTAGCCGACCCCCCCCGGGCCCAGCTGCTCCCGGGGTGCTTCGGACCTCGCCTCCTCCTTTCTTCGCCGGAAGGGAGGAGGGAGGGAGGGAGGGAGGGAGGGGCACGTACGACCACGACGGGATGTCATCATGGAGGCTTGAACGGCCCTCCTCCCTCCTCCTCCTCCTCCTCCTCCTCCTCCTCCTCCTCCTCCTCCTCCTCCTCCTCCTCCTCCTCCTCCTCCTCCTGCTCCTCCTCCCCAGACGCTCCAACCTCCTCCTGCTCCTCCTCCCCCTCCTCCTCCTCCTCCTTCTCCTCCTCACCCCTCGCCCTCCTCATCATTCCGTTACCCTCTTCCTCGCTTGACTTGGGGGGTTCAATGGAATCGCGGATCCCCCAAGATTTCTCCTCCTCATCTTCCTCGTCCGTGTCCCCCCTTTCCTCCTCCTCCTTCTCCTCCTCCTCATTCCCCATCGTGCTCATCGTTGCTGTTCCCCTCTAATGTTTTCTGGTCGCCTGGTTTTCGGATTCTGGAGGTCATGCATTTGTTCTTATCCAAATCATAACATTTATGTTGTTGTTCAATGCTTAGAAACATGTTTTAATGTTCTGAATGTTCACAAAGTGTAAACATTGTACTGTTTGGGGGGGTCCAGAGTTATCAGGGATCCTGGTCGCCTGGTATTCGGATTCTGAAGGCCCTGGAGTATTTGAACTTTGTTGTATATATACGTATATATGTATGTATATATAAATATAGGTGTGTGTGAATATTTCTATATCTATATATACAGATTAAGCTGTTGACTTTTATTTTGATTTTTTCATTATTTTAATTGGGGGGGTCCGGAGTCGTCGGGATTCCTGGTCGCCTTCGCTACAGGACCCTCTCCCCTCATCCAAGCTCTCGCCACTTCCATCTGGCGTCATTCTTCTCCCACTCATTTATCATTCTCCTTCTTCCCTCGCCCAGGAGGAGGAGGAGGAGAACAAGAGGGAGGAGGAGGAGGAGGAACTAGGAGGGGTACGCTGAACGTGGAGGAGGAGGAGGAGGAGGATGGGGGCTGGCGACGAGGAGAAAGACCAGACGAGGACGAGCAGGAGGGGAAGGCGGAAACCAGAAAAATGAAAGAGTTGAGGTGAGGGAGAACGAATATTATGATTGTGATGATGATCGATATGATGGTGGTGATGATGATGACGATGATGATGGTGGTGGTGGTTATCATGATCATGGTGCTGGTGATGATGGTGATGGTGATGATGCTGTTGGTGATGATGATGATGTCGATGATTGTAAAGATGGTGGCAATGATGTGGATTATGCTGATGACGGTAATGATATCGATAACGATGACGATGACAATGATGGTGTTGATGACGATCATGATGTTGCTGATGATGAGGAGCGGTCACCATAAGATGGATGAGCAGTTTACCGAAATGGATCACCATGAAATTGTTAGGCAGTTTATGAGGAGCGGTCCCCATAAACATGACGACCTTTTTAGGAGGACCACCGTAAAAGTGACGTCCAGATCGAGATCCATGAGGAGCTCTCGAGGGTCGTCGGGGAGGAAGATTTCAGAATCGAGGATCGAGGAGGAGTATGGTGTGAGGTGCTTGGGCTGTGGACTGAAAGCCTCCTGGATACGTATCAGCCCTTGTCGGAAGGCATCTGAGGGCGCTTTGCCTAGTTTGCGCATTTCCCGTTGCCCTCCCTGCTGCAAGAGTCCTCGCTCGCCCTTTTCGCCTCCTTGTTCTCTCTCCGCCGACGCTTGCGCGCCCAGCGAATTTCTAGTCTCCAGCGTAACGAAGTTGAGTACCCGTAGGTGCTAGCGGAGGGGAAACGATTGCCATAGCCGTTCACCTAGTCGATTTCGGGCATAGAAGCGCCGCCCCGCAGGAGACCGCATTATGATACTCTTGTGGCGCGGTTTGGCCGTCTCGACCCCTCGTGGTGTGTATTGACACCCAACATCCTGAAATAAAAGATGATTGCCCTTTTGGGGGGTCTGTGATTAGTTTCAGTGATTGGATGCGTGCGAATGCGCGAATAATGTCCCTGGTATTGTTTCCGCCATTGAGGCGCGTTTTTTCCATAGGCGTGCACGCGCGAGCGTGTGTATGTGTATATATATATATATATATATGCACACATGTACATATATATATATATATATATACATGTACATTTACACAGAATTTATAATTCTATATAGTGTACATACATACAAACCCATAGGTGTACACACGACGCACACACAAATGCGAATATTCGCGTATGTTGTATTCATAGTATGCCACATATATATATACAACCAAGGGGACGCCGTCGAGGCCTCGGGAAGCTCTTAAGCGGCCGTCCAGGGCGGGGCTCACCGGCTCTAGCGGCGAAGTTTTGCGCAGACGTCGATATATGTGTGTATATGTATGTGTGTATATACATACATATATATATATATATATATATATATATTGAAATTAAGTAAATGGGTTTTCCCGTGGGCCCGTCCAAAACCACGCAGACACCTCCGGTTTCGGAGCATTTCTACATAATTTGGGCGGCCTGGGGGCGTCGAAAACTGTTCAGCAAAAACATCATTAACAACTGGTGTGTTTGGCGAGATTCTGGACGGCCCCACGGGAAATCATAATGGGCTTATGTGCACTTCTCATTGCTTCAACTACGGAACGACCGCACCGCGGCGGCGGCGACAACGGGCCTCACACCCCCAACCCGTGCCCGACATCTCCAGGACAGCGACGACGACGGCGACGTCGACTTTCGGTGACGACGACGGCGACGTCGACTTTCGGTGTGCTCTCAGGACGTCCAGAACACTCTTTATCTATCAAAACGCGTAGTGGTACACATTAACCGACATGCGTCTCGTTAAGTTGGTTTTCTCCCCCCAGGGGGTCCCGCCCCTACTGGTGAGGCGGGGCCCGCGGGAACGCGTCCTGTCACCACACTACTGTCCCCCCGGGGTCGTCGTCGTTGTGCGCACGCGGCCACGACGGCGACGACGATGGCATCGACGACAGCGATGGCGACGACGATGCCGACGACGACGGCGTCGACGGCGACGACGATGGCGATGACATCGAACGCCATCGCCCGTATCCCGTTTCCCTCCCCACGAGGCCCCAGGAGGCCCCAGAATGAACCAGGAGGCAAATCAGGAGGCCCCAGGAAGCCCCACGAAGCCACAGGATGCCCCAGGAGGCCCCAGAAGGGCTCCAGGAAGCTCCAAGAGGGCTTCAGGAAGCCCCATGAGTTCCCACAAAACCAAAAAGGAGTTCCCAGAAGGCCCCCAGGAAGCCCCAGGAGGCCCCAGGAGTTCCTAGGATGTCTCAGGAGGCCCCAGGAGGTCCCAGGAGACCCGAGGCACCAGGAGATCTCAGCCCAGGATATATCAGGATCCCGCAAGATGACATCACGCCCTGGTCGATCGGACGGGATGGAGGGAGGGAGGGAGGGAGGGAGGGAGGGAAGAGAAAGAGGAGGAGGAGGAGGAAGAAGAGGAGGACAGGAATAAGGAGGAGGGAGGAGAAGGCAAGAGGAGAAAAAGCAGGAGGGAGGAGCAGGGAGGAGGAGCAACGAAGGAGAAGAGCAGGAGGAGGAGGAGGAGGATGTGGAGGAGGAGGAGGAGGAGGAGGAGGTGGTGGAGGAGGAGGAGGAGGAGGAGGAGGAGGATTCCCCCACCTGCTCGCCAAGCACCCCTCCCGCAACACCTGCCCGCCCCCCCCCGCCCCCTTCGGAGGCCGGCGGCCGCCGAGGAGATCGCCTCGCTCTGGCGGCGGTGGCTCGAGGAACGCCCCCCCCCCCCCCCCATGCACCCCCTCGTCTGGAGCAGACGAGACAGTCGGGGCCATGAAGAAGGAACCCTTTTCGTTGGGAAGGGGCTCCGTGTTCCTTAATTGTTTCACAGCTTGCCTCAAGTTGTCCTTTCGTGTTCGACGGGAAACCGAAGTTCAACTTATGGTAAACAGGGGCATCGTTCCTTATTTGGGGTTCTCTGGTCAACGCCCCGACTGTAGGGGCCCAGACACGACCGCGTCGTAGAAAAATCAGGACGGGGAGTTTGGGGACACTTTCGGCCTCGGGGGGGCCTCGCCGGGCCTTGGGACCGTCCAAAAACGAGTCAGGACAAGAAACTGGTCCCGAGGAAGGGGTCGGGACATGGGGGTCGACGTCATGAAAAAATAACGACGTCGGGGGTCTGGGGAGTAGGCTCAAGTCGGGCCTGTCCCCCTACAAGGGGGGATGTTCGACGAAAAATGAAAGATACCCCAAACATAATCGAAACATAGTCTACAAATAGTCTGGGGACTATTTTGGGTGTATTTTTTGGCCTTCCTGGGGCATTGTTGGGGTATTTTTTATTTTTCGTCGAAAATCCCCCTGTAGGGGGACAGGCCCGAAGGGTCCCGAGGAAGGGGTCGGGACATGGGGGTCGACGTCATGGAAAAATCCCGACGTCGCCTGGCATCGCTCGGACGTGTGCATTTTTCCTCGGCGAGGAACCATCGAGGACCATCCTGGACCATCGAGCAAAAAAAAAAAAAAAAAAAAAAAACGCACGACACCGAAAAACGCACTGGAAGTGGACGTCCGAACGACGGCGAGGTCGGGGGTCGGGGGAGCAGGCATCGGGGGGGCGCGCCTCGACCCGCGATCGCCCGCGGACCGCCGACGGGGGCCCGACAGCCCCCAACACTGCCCAGGATGGTGCCTCGGCGTCGCTCGGACGTGTGCATTTTTTTTCCTCGGCGGGAACCATCGAGGACCATCCTGGACCATCGAGCAACAAAAAAACACGCGCGAAACCGCAAAAATGCACGGGAGATGGACGTCCGAACGGCAAGGTGCGGAGTCACCATCGGAGGTGGATCATTGATGCACCAGCGATGCATCGCCGCCTCCAGATCGATGCATCCCCCCCTATGCCAGTCCCCCCCGATCGTTGCCATCGGAGGTTTATCACTGATATATCAGCGATGTATCGACGACTCCAGGTCGATGCATCCCCCCCTATGCCAGTCCCCCCCCCCATCGTTGCCCCCCTCACCTCGGGCGCTGCAGACGTGGCGGAGACAGCCCCCAGCCTGCCCAATGACCTTTCGCCGGAGTCACCTTTGGTGCAGACCCAATGGGGTCCCCCCGATCGCAGACATCGCGATGCGATGGTGGCGGCTTCCGCGCCCGTGGTTGGTCCCCCCGCGGCGCCCCAGAAGCCGCGCACCAAAGGTCACTCTCACCCAGGGTCACTCTTGCGTGTAGTGGATGTATCAGCGATGTATCGCCGCCTCCAGGTGGATGCATCCCCCCCTAATTATGCCAGTCCCCCCCGATCGTTGCCCCTCACCTCGGGCGCTGCAGGCATGGCGGAGACAGGCCTGGTGAGGGGCAGCGGTCGCCAGGCATCATCCGGCGTCTCGACAGGGTCGGGACGGAGGTTGTTCACCATGTCCTGCTTCTCGCAGCCATGACAGGGCCTTGAGACCGTCACAAAATTGCTGGGGATGATAAATCGGTCCGGGGCAGAAAAAAGTCGAAAAAGCCCCCCCCCCAAAAAAAAATCTCGATCCAGTCTCGAAAAAGTCGAAAAAAAAGTATTGAGAAAGTTTCGAAACAGTCTCGTGAGGTCGGGTGCCCGTGTCTCGAAGAAGCCGCGGCGCCAGATGTCTGGGCCAGCGGGGACTGGCTCAGGGGGGGGGCCTCGAGCAGGAATCGGCAGTACACCACCAGTGGATCGGGCGATTCGGGCGAAGAGAACTATGCACATGCACCTCTCCTCCTCCTCCTCCTCCTCCTCCTCCTCCTCCTCCTCCTCCTCCTCGCCTCTTCCTCCTCCTTCTCCTCCGTCTCCTCCTCGCCTTCCTCCTCCTCGCCTTCTCCTCCTCCTCGCCGTCTCCTCCTCCTCCTCCTCCTCCTCCTCCTCCTCGCCTCCTCCTCCTCTTTTTTGTTTATTATTATTCTTCTTCTTATTATTCTTATTCTTATTATTATTATTCCTCCTCCTCCTCCTCCTCCTCCTCCACCTCCTCCCCTGCGGGCGAAGAGAACTATGCACATGCACCGATCCTGGCAAGGCCCATCCTTACCCAGGATCGGTGCGTATGCCTTCCTGGCCGAGGTAGGAGGGCGTATGCACCGATCCTGGGCTCAGGATGGGCCTGGCCAGCAGCGGTGTATGTGCATAGTTCTTCTTCCTCTGCTCGATGGCGAATCCCTGCGGGTCAAGCTCCCAGCATGAGCGCAGCAAATTGTCTGGCTCACTCCAACCCGCCCTCGCGCTACATAGTAGCACCCGAGTCTCAGCATACAGTGGAGGCCCGACCACAAGAAACCTTCCACAAGAAACCCAACCCTGAGACCCCAGGACGTCGGTGGAGTTTTGGTGTGGGAGCGTCGCGCTTTCCAAGGAAAAACCATCGAAACCCAAGAGACCAAGGGCACCCTGGAGGCAAGCAGGGTGTTTCTTGGCATGGGTCTCCAATGTAGGCAGGGGCAGCCATCGACGACCATGGGAGACGAATGCGGACGCCAGCCTGGTGCGTGGCCCGCGAGGTGCGCCGCGCGCGCGCACCAGGTGCGCCAGGTGCCGCCGGGGCCCAAGCGCACCAGGCGCGCCTTGTGCACACGATGCGCCACGTGGTCCACATGCACCCAGTCTTGGGGAAACAAACAATGATATAATTCAACATACAACCTCTCGGATCGGCGCTGGGGCCCCCTGACGGCTCCTCCAGCGCCGCCCCTGGCGCACTCCGCGCGCCAGGGAGGGGGGTCCAGCGCCGATCCGAGAAGTCCTCGCGGACCTCCGAGTTTGTATGTTTCTGTCATGGCTTGTTTCCCTAAGTATGCCGCGTGCTTCAACCGCGCCAGGTGCGCCGCGTTCGCGTCGCGCGCGGGGTGCGCAAGGGTCGCCACTCTTCGCAGCACACACCGGGCGGCATGCCGACCCCCTACGCGCCGTCCCTGTCAACAACGCATGCCATGTGACGGTGTGAGTGCCAGCTTTGCGCACCGCGTGTGCACACGCAGTCATTTTGCATCGGCCTCGGTCGACAACGCGAAAGAGAAAGCACTGCAAAGCAGTCGCTAGGCGCCAGAAGGTGATTTGGATGTTGCCGCAAAAGTGTACGTACGTTGGATTGCTTCTGACAGGGATGATCGGGGGTCGGCATTGTTCCTCGTCGGTCGTCGGTCGAGCGGGAGAGGCGGCGTTGGTTACGAAGGAAAGATGGCACTTTCTCCCCCCCTGGAAGGGCGAGAACGGGGTTTTGAAGAGGAAGCGCTCTAAGCCACCTCCGCCGAGAGGGCCCGCGGGATTGCACAAAAGCTGGCAGAGAGGCGAGGGCCAGTGGGTGGGGCTGTGCACGGGAGGGGGAGGGCAGGTGATAATTCTACCCTCCCCTGGGCATGGTTGAGCCTCCTGAGAGGCCCTTGTCGCGACGGCTGGATTCGCCTCGAAATTTTGGTCAGTGCGCATCCGAGGAGAGGTCTGGGGAATAGCGGCATCGATTTGTCATGGTTTCCCTACAGACTTCCGAGAAGTCCAGAATTTCTGTTGTTTCTCCATGTTCCACACGGGTTGCAGGAACGAGGGCGGATAGATCTTCTGCAGCTCTTGGGACGTACGGTCAGGAATTTTGGCTGAGCGTGTCGCGCCGCTGGTTCGGACCCACCACGCCTCGGCGCGACACGGTATCCACGTCCCAGTCCCCAGGCGTCAACGTCCTGAATGTTTCTCCGCTTCCCGCCCCGCGGAACGGAGCTACACGCAATCCATTCGCAAGGCATAGCGTTTCTTCGGGGCCGCCGCCGCGAAACGCGAAGCAAACGTTTCCGACCGTACATCTGGGCATCCCAATTGCTGTCCGATCAGGTGGGGTCGGAGGATCGCGCCGCATCGCCGATACAACTCGAAGTGTAACCCACAGTTCTCCATGCCAGCGTCGCCGATGCATCGCCGACGTCGCGGATGCATCGCCCAAGCATCGGTGATGCATCGGCGATGCATCTGCGATCCATCGGCGATGCGGCGCGATCTTCCGACCCAAAGTACTCGGCCCCATTGGGGAGGTACATCCTGAGCCAATCGCGTCATGGCATCACTCTCGTCCCAGGGAGGTCGTGGCATCGTTCTCGTCATGACAGCGTCCTCGCCACCTGGCTGACAGGGCCTTTGTAATATATGCACCTCGACGCATGGGGTCTGGTCCTCCTCCTCCTCCTCCTCCTCCTCCTCCTCCTCCTCCTCCTCCTCCCCCTCCTCCTCCTCCTCCTCCTCCTCCTCCTGCTCCTCCTCCTCCCCCTTCTTTTCCTCCTCCTCCTCCTCCTCCTCCTCCTCCCTCCTCCTGCTCCTCCTCCTCCTCCCTCCTCCCCCTCCTCCTCCTCCTCCTCCTCCTCCTCCTCCCGCCGTGAAGACAGATCTCGCCCCCGGGAGGGGCGTTCGCCCCCCCCCTCGCGCCAACGCGGCGCCTGCGAGGGCGGGGCCGCCGCTGGGCTCTCCTCGCGCTGGGGCCACTGCGGCAGCGCGCTGCGCGAGGCCCCGCGGCGGGCCCCGCTGGGGCGAGGGGCCCAGGGGGGAGCCGATCGCGCTGCCGCCCCCCCCCCCCCCCCCTACTTATCCAGATCTCCGACGGTGCGACTTGTGTTCCCCATCTGCGCGGATGAGTGGGGACTGTCGCGAAATCAGCTCCTGAAGTACACATTGTCCTGAGTAGGCCCCCGACGCGCGCAGCTTCTCATGCGAGGCCATGGCCGCACCCGCCTCGCCCTTAAGGGGCCCGGGCGCATGCCCGCACAGGCGATCCGTATCCGTATCCGTATCCGTATCCGTATCTGGGCGTTTTCCCGGCTTGGGGGCCTGCCAGGAAAGGCCTCGCCTTCGAGGATGGAAGGAGTTGGCATCCCTGCCAGGGCGGAAGGCGGCGGGACCCGGCCGGGGAGCCACGGGGAGGGGGGGGGCGGGGCATTTCTTCTCGGCGGCGAGCCTGGGAAGGAAGCTAGAGGGGGCAGGCATTCTCAGAAGATGGCAGGGCGTCTCAGAAGCCCTCGCGCCTTCAGAGAAGCGCCTTGACAGCCTTGTCAAGCCACACACTTTTTTGGTCTGCGGGTCGAGAGCGAGTCTCTTCCGGTTAAGAGCTAGCTGTCAAGCCACACAGACACACACACACACACACACACACACACACACACACGCACACGGTTTCTCAGACAGCGCGGGAGCTTCTGAGAAGCCCCGCCGCCTCATGAGAAGGCCTGGTCCCTCTCGCTTCCCTCGTGGGCTCGCCGCCGGTTTCCGGCCTCGCGGCCAGCCCCATTTGGGGCGTGGGCCACGGGGGGGCCATGCTGAAGCGCACAGTGCCCCCACACTCGGGGGCGGCAAAGAGGGGGGTGATGACTAGGGGGGGGGGGATATCATGGCGGGGGCCCTGATATTTCCCCAGATCTCATGGCGCCTCTTCTTATTTTATTACGTCCCTGGTCCCCCCGCTGGGCCGCGCACATGACGCCGGTCATGATTTGCACCCCCCCCTCGTGGACACCCCCCTCTGGGCCGCTCCCGAATGGGGGGGCCATGCTGAAGCGCACAGTGCCCCCACACCCCCTCCGACAATTTGTTTTGTCAATCTGGGCGCTTTTCCTTTATTTCGGCCTCTGGGGCCGATCTCACCGGCCATCCAGACAAGGTGCACTCCGTCGGTCTTTCCGCCCAATGGAGGAACCGCAAGCTTCCCAGGTCGTCGATCTTCCCGCTCCAGACGGGCCCAAGATGGCCTCCACGACAGCCAGACGGGTCCGAGGGGCCGGGACATCCAGCGGGGGCCGAGGGCGCTTGGCCTTCCCGTCGAGCCCAGGCGCCGCCACAACGTCCCGATCGGCACCGCCCCCCGCCAGTTCTTTTGTGTCGGGCCTGTCCCCCATACAGGGGGATTTTCGACGAACAATAAAAAAAATACCCCAGAAATGCCCCAAAAAGGTCAAAGAACATTCCACAAATTGTCCCCAGAGGTACTTTGGGACCATGTTTTGATTATTTTTGGGGGTCTGTTTTTTCTTCGTCGAACAAATCCCCCTGTAGGGGGACAGGCCCGACGTAACAGTTCTTCGCCACCGCCGCGGCCCAGCCGTGGCGGCGTGGCTCCGACATCTTTGCATCCTCGCCTCTGCTGCGCCGGCCGCGGGGCGCACCCGCCCGTGGCGTGGGAACGCCTGCCGGCGGCAGGCAACACGACAGGCGCCCTTGTCGTACTCCGGAAGGCCTTAGAAATACAGGAGGGAGCACGACAGCGCGAGAAATAGCGAAGGTCGCTCGACCAGGTCGTTGAAGAACGAGGTTGAAGACGAGAGCGTATGTCCATTCGCCTCTTTTTTTAAAAGTCCATTCTCGCCTCTGCTTCCCCTTCGGAGGTCCGCCTCGGCGGGGGCGCCGCCCGGCGCTCGCGCGCGCGGTCTCGCGCGGCATCGCTCGGGCGTGTGCAATGCTTCCCGGCGAGGCCGGCGCCAGGACATCTCGGGAGCCTTGAGACGGGGGTCAGTGCAAACGGGGGTCAGCCAGGGCGCCAGATCTTGCAGGATCCTGCAGAGCCAGGGTCGCATTGACCTGGGTTTGGGTGCAGGATCCTGCAGGATGCTGCACGGCCAGGGTCGCATTGACCCGAGTTTGGGTGCAGGATCCTGCAGGATCCTGCAAGGCCTGACTGACCCGGGTTTGGATTGACCCGTATCAGCAGATCCCCGAACATTTGGACCATCCTGGCGCATCTCGGGCTATCTTTAAGTCGGGCCTGTCCCCCCTACAGGGGGGATGTTCGACGACAAATTAAAAAGATACCCCAAAAATAGCCCAACAATACACTGGGGACTATCTGTTGAGTATGGTTTGACCTTTTTGGAGTGCTTTTGGGGGATGTGTTGTTTTTCGTCGAACATCCCCCTGTAGGGGGGCACGCCCGATATAAGGCTATCTGATGTTATGATGTTCCAATTTGCGATGGCCTTGACACCAGAGAGAATTTCGAGCACCAATAAAGTACCGAGACTGGAGGGTTTGCACGTGTCGGGCCCTGGGAGGCGATGCACGTTCGACACTGTTTCGACACTTTCCTGGGTGCTCGAAATTATTTCTTGAATGTGGCCCTTCAGTACGATGGTCGCCTGCCCAACAGCGGCCGCTGTCGGTGTTGAAAAACATTTGTTGATGGGCATCGTACACCTTTTGCCCGTACCCATTTTGAGAGTCCAAATCTGGTTCAGGGTAGCCGAAGTCGGCCATTGTGTATTTTGCCATCTTCTGGAACGTCTTCTCGTGTTCTCTGGCGTGCGGGAAGACGTTCTGACCCCTGGCGCGTGTTCCAGCAGCCGCGCCCAGACAGGAGTTTCCCAGAGTGCGCTGGCATAGTTCTGAGTGGCTTGATGCCGCCAGGCGGCTTCACCTCGAAGGGTTTTGCCTTGGAGGGATCTTACTTTTGATCGCACGCGAGGCTTGCGCGGGCCCCAACCAATCATGTCCTTGGGGTCGGTCGGAGCACCCGCGGGGGGGTGTTGACGTCTTTGGCATTGGAAAGTCGGCACACAAGCGTCAGTGCTGGCGGTGGGGGCGCCGTCCTACTGGTCAGCAGATCCGCTCCACCCTGGTCTGTCGCACCCACGCGCTGCTTACCGTCAAGATGTTGAAAGAAGGATCACGTCGGGCGCAGGAGTGGCGCTGGTTTTCGGCGTGTTCCTTCAACCTGGGTCAGGGGACCTCGAAATCAAGGCTCACCCTGGCCAGAAAGGTCTTTTCGTTTCTTCTCCAGCGCTTCTCATGGTAGGAGGATGACTGCATGTTCCTTCGCCTTCAGGCTGTCCTGTACCGTCCTCTTTGGCACGTCATTCGGGAGCATAGGTTGGTCATGCATGGCCCTTTCCTAAGCCACGATCTGAATTGGCAGAGGCTACGTCGTAAGGATTCGAGTTCGGCATCCAGGATGGTGTGCATCTTGTCGTCCTAGGTGGGCGCATCCTGCTAGAAATCAGTTCGCCAAGCCTCGTGGTGGTTCGGTAAAGCGCCTTGTCCTGCTGGCCTCGTGGTTCGCGTCATGCGGCGGACTCGAGCAATGTTGCATTCGCAGCCTTGGCCTTCTTCTTGGCAAACTTGATCAACACGTTGATGTCCGACTATGTGCGCGGTTCGTCCCACGCATGTTGTATGTCATCGGGGGAGCAACATTGCGGTGCTGCTTGGGCTATTGGGCGGTAGTGCGCTTATTGTCGATAGCCTCGGGGCCAGTGTTACGACCGAGGTCCCTGCACAGGACGCACTGCAGACGCCAATGGAAGGGGAATCAGAGGTATTGGCAAGATTGTGTCCCCATTCGAATATGTGACCAGCTTACCGTGAAGGTCGGCCATCAAGGAACCGTTGCTGGGCTTGGTGATGTACCTGATCGTGTTGTACGTACGAGTCATCTAACCCTGCACAGCCGTTTCCACATGTGCACATCTTTCGGCCGCATCGCTTGATGTCGCGGGACCTGTGTGAGGTTGACCCATCGCGCCAGCAATCAATCACGCAGATTGACATTGGGGCAATGAAGTCATTGATAGTGTCCACCTTCAAAGCGAGTGCATACGGTATGGTAGAGAAGACGCAACAGAAGCGGAGAGGCCAAACAGCTTGCGTCGAGTCGTGAGACAAAAAGTGACACAGGCTCTGGCTCAACACTAACATCAGCGCGCTAGACGGGTCGGGTGCCGTCGTAAAGGCTTTGCATTCAAATTGAGCGACGCAAATAAGCAGAGTCGTCTTCTCCGGCATTCGTGCGTAGGTTGCCCGCGTAAGGTCGCGCGTAAGCGCCCTCGCTTTCAATGTAGCGTGCCGCGCTAGGGGCCCGCGTAAACCACCGCGTAAGGTTGCTATGCCATCCCGCGTAAGACCCATTTCTTTTCGTCCTTAATTGTTCCTCCCTCCCCCTCGTCTCTCATCCCTTATCCTTTTGCCCTGCCCCACCCACCCTCCTTGGCCCCCCCCCCTCGGACGGGAGAGGGGAGGAGAGCAGAGTGGGGGAAGTGGAGAGGAGGACGGAGGCAGGGAGGGGAAGGGGGGGAGGAGGCAGGAACGAGAGGCGGAGGGGGCAAGCTAGGTGCGCTCGCGTTATATCTGATTGCGCTGACGTGGAGAAACCTAGAGCACGAGGTGGCAACAAGGCGGCAACGGGCGGCAAGGTGGCAAGACCTCGCTGGACCCACCCAGCGCACGAGGCGGCAACGGACAGCAACGTGGCGAATCTTTGCCAGATCCACCTAGCGCACGAGGCGGCAACGAGGCGGGCACGGGCGACGTCGTGGCGAAACCTCGCTGGACTTACCAAGCGCACGAGGCGGCAAAGGGCGGAATCGTGGCGAAACCTCGCTGGACCCACCGAGAGCACAAGGCGGCAACGAGGCGAGCAAGGGCGACATCGTGGCGAAACCTGGCCAGACCCACCAAGCGCACGAGGCGGCAACGAGGCGGCAACGAGCTGCTCCATGGCGAAACATCGCTGGGCCCACCCAGCGCACCAGAGCGGCAACAAGGCGGCAGTTGGCAGCAATGTGGCGAAGCCTCGCCGGACGCTCCCCGCGCACGAGGCAACGACGACGCGGCAACAAGGCGGCAACGTGGCGAAGCTTCACAGGACTGGGCGGCAGCGTGGCGAATTGCCAGATCCACCCAGCGCACGAGGCGGCAACAAGGCGACAACGAGGCGGCAGCGTGGCGAAACCTGGCCGGCCGGACCCACCCAGCGCACGAGGCGGCAATGAGCGGCAACGTGGAAAATGTTCGGCGGACCTAGCAAGTTCCTTAGGGAGAGAAGCAGGATCCCTAAGTGCTGGCACTGTTTGGGGAGATACCGAGTCATGGAATCCTCTGGGTTTCTGGGTTAAAAGTATACAGAGGGGGGGGGGGGGGGCAGGACACATCCAGGACGTGATCGGGGGAGACAGGAGGGCAGTATTCATATTGAGTTTTGATGGAGGGGGGAGTGAGACGGGGCGAGGAGGGAGGCAGGGAGGGAGGGAATGATGGGCAGGAGGAAGACCCCCCCCCGCGCGGTGAGGTCGAGCGTTGGCGCCGCTGCGCCGCGGAGCCGGGGCACAGGCCCTCGGCCAGAGCCCTCCGTGCGGGCGCTCGCGCAGCGGCTCCGAGAGCCTCCCCCTGCTCTTCCTTCCTCCCTTCCCCCCTCCTCCAGTGCAGCCCCCCGTCGGCCAAAGCCGTTGGCAAGGATCGGCAGGCGACGGGTGAACAATGGGCTTGCGGGGTCCCGTCGGCGGGGCAGCGAGTCGCTAGGCGTCATGCCCCTACCCAGTGCCAGCGTCCATTCGCCCTACGGGCGACGCGGGGCTTGTCGTTACGGCGGCATGACTACTGCTTGTCCCATGCTCCCATGCTCCTCCTCCTCCTCCTCCTCCTCCTCCTCCTCCTCCTCCTCCTCCTCCTCCTCCCCTGCCTTATCCTCCTCATGTTCTCGCAGGGTGCTGGGCACCAACTTGTACTATTCAGCAGTATTGCTTGCCGTCAGTTCGTTTATGGTTGAAGAGCCACCTCATTGTGCAACCGTCTATGTTTATCAGCTACTTCTTGCTTGCCAGCCACAAGACCAGGTCGAATCGATTGGTATCTGATCTTGTCACGGCTTCAGCTGGTGTGCAACAATCGATCGTTGAAGATTTGCTGCAGCGGGCGCCACGGGCTGCCGCTGGCGAATCCTCTCAACGCGCCAGCGGCAGTCCAGCGGCCATCCCGATCTCGCCAGACGTTCTTGGTGCATTGAGCTGGGCGGTGGGGTCTCCAGGGCAGCCTCCTCCGAGACTTGTCTCATTTCCGCCTGGATTCACAAGACCACCAGATGAGAAGTGCAAGCAGCAGTAGCCATGAGAGGGATTTACCCTATATGTTCGTTGCGTCATGTCGTTGTGGCCTCAGGATTAAACGTTTGCGCAAGTATGACTGTCAGGTGTCTTGCTGAATGTTCGGCTGCAAGTTGTAAGTTTCCCATTGATTTCATACGCTGTGGAGGAACATGATCCGGATGTTTTGTTCAACGCTGTATGGAGGGATCGGTCGTCGGTGAAAGGTGAATACGCTTGCAGGGTGAAGGCTTGTCTGGAATGGGGTCAGTTGACCTCATACCCACCACGTTGCATACTGCTGTGTTTACATTGTCCCTTACTCCAGTGTAAGCAGAGTTTGGGCGCCAACCTCCATAGTTAACCCACGCAGCCGCGATATCCGTAATTCCGTAACTCTTCCTCCCTCCTTTTCCTTCTCCTCTTCCTCCTCCTCCCTCCTCCTCCCTCCTCCTCCTCCTCCTCCTCCTCCTCCTCCTCCTCCTCCTCCTCCTCCCTCCTCCTCCCTCTTCCTCCCTCCTCCTCCTCCCCCTCCTCTTCTTCCTCCTCCTCCCTCCCTCCCTCCCTCTCTCTCCTCCTCATCCTCCGACCCCTGCCGACCCGATCCAGCGGTGGGCCCTCGGAGCTTTCTATCCCCCGTGTGGCCCAGTCGCTCCGCTATTCGGCCTACAGGCCCGCGTGAGGCTGATGAGGAGCAGCAGTATGTCGAGGCACGTGCTTTTCTTGGTGACTCGCACAGGGAAACAGATCCTCCCCTCCCGCCCGTCCCTGTGCCGCTACCGCCTGAAGTACTGGGGCGCATTGCGCAGAACCGTGCGCAGGCACGTAACAAAAGGGCTGCTAAACTCCAGGGAGAGAGACAGGCTCGCTTGCGCGAAGTAGCCCCTTGGGCCCTGGATCCGAATTTTGGCAGAGGCTTGTTTGGATAAGTTGCTGCCTACCATTTATCATGAGATGTTGGGGACTGTTGTTCAGTTTTGTGCGGAAAAGTGGAGGTGCGGAGTAGCAAGTTGCCGTTGTCTTCTGGTGCCGCCTCTTTCAGCCACCTCTCTCTGTCCGCCCGCTCTCTGCTGACATGCAACACCGGGGGACCTACGGCATGATGATTCAGGACCATGCTGTTGCTGCCTTCTTTGCCTCGATTACGATCTCGGCGCTTCTCTCTCCGTTATGTCTCCAGCTGGCGCCCTAGTTCGAGTGGATTCGGGCGCCGTGCCTTGTACGGCGAACCTCTCTCGGGGCGGGCAGACACGCGCGCCTGCCCGCGCCCGCGCATCGGGCTCGCCAAGCCATCTCAACCTCCCCACTCCCCTGCGTAGCTTCCAGCTTACTATGGTCGGGACCAGGGGTGGGACTGGCACGTTGACGGGGAAAGGGTTTCTACTGCGGCGTTGGAGCAGGCACTGGCCGCAGGTCGAGCGTGCGAAAATCGCGCATTCCCGCTGGCCCCTGCCGCGCCCCCGCCCCCCCCACTCAGCTGCCTTTTCGTCAGCCTCTCTTGCCTTTTGGCGCTTGCCTCCCTTGCCCAGGTCGAGAGGTTCCGGGCGCCGTGCCAGGCGCGGCGAACCTCCTTCGGGGCGGTCAGACACGCGCGCAGGCCCTGCCCGCGCATCGGACAAGCCAGGCAGTTTCACCTTCCCCACTTTCCCCAGGTGTAGGTTTGTTGGCGGGGACGTAGTTCGCACTGCGGCGATGAGGTGGGCATGGGCACAGGTCGAGCGTGCGAAAATCGCGCACTCCCGCTGGCCCCTGTCTCGTACACGCCCACTTTTCTGCCCTTTTTGAGCTTTTCGCAGACCATCTCACCTACTCCCCTGTTTGTTCTGCCTCCTCTTGTTTTTTCCCAGTTTCTGTTGCGTTGCAATGCGCCTTGGGCGTTTTCCGACGATGCGGGGGTGGTACGAGATAGGTGACGGGGGCGGGGAATTTCACCAAACCTTGGCGCCCGTGCTGCTAGATACCGCGTGTTTCCGCCGGGAGCTAGCGAGTGCCGCGCCAAGCTGACCGTCTCCTCGGCGAGTCAGAGCGCAACCCCTCTCCCCCTCATCCTCCGACCCCTGCCGACTCGATCCAGCGGTGGGCCCTCGGAGCCTTCTACCCCCCGTCTGGCCCACTCGCTCCGCCATTCGACGAGTCATGCTGGCCTTCCGCTTTTACTCACCACCCACCTAACCACCCCAAGCCAACCCGAAGGACCACATTTATCCTCGATTTCCAGTGGAGGGGGCGGGGAACATTGGAAAAGACACATGGAACCCGTGTCCACCCAACCCGAAATTCGGGTCAAAGTTTGGTCTTCGGGTTGGGTTGGGGTGGTCTGGTAGGTAATCATTTACAGCGACGGCCATGGGGAAGGCGAGGAGCGCCCGTCCGCAGGCTGCGAGTCTCGCGCGACAGGAACACATCCTGTCCTGATTGCCGGGGTTTGTTTTTGCATTATCTGCAGGTCGGTTGCCCTCGCAGTCCGTCCCGTCTCCATGGCCAGAAGCCCGTCTAAGTGGCCGCGTTCGGCGGCCGAGGCGTCCAGGGAGGCCCCGCCTGAGCGACATCGGCGCCGCTCCGCCCCGCTCCCACTCCTCCAGGGACGAACTCGTTTCCTGAACAGCCGTCGTCATCCTCCCTGCTGTTCCCCTCCTTGTTTTCGTCTGCCGTGTTTTTCGCTTGTGTATGTTGTGATGGCCCGTCCATTCATATTGCTATTATGTTGCTTCACTGACCCCACGAAGCCCTCAACATCCTTTTGTGGGGAACCCCGTTATCATAATAGAAGAATCGGTTCGCCAACGTGGACCCCAAATAGTGCATTCTTCACTATATGGTTCATGCCACTGCTGAGGAGCAATATATGTGGAACAATATAGGTTATTCAAAAAATGCTGCGCAATCTACGTAATGCAGTATATGCGGTGCGAGCTAAATTGTGCAAGATATGTTGTGCAGTGTATGTGTGTGTGCTGTGCAACCGATGTTGTGCAACGTATGCGGTGCATTCTGCGTTGTGCAATACATGCTGTGCGACTCGCGTTGTGCAATATGTGTGGTGCGATGTGGCATTGTAATATGTATATATAGATGCATGGTACAATATATGCGGTGCGTTTTATGTTGCGCAAAACATGATGTGCGATCTTCGTTTTGCAATATATGAGGTGCACCTTATGGGGTGCAAAATATGTGGTGCAACAAATGTGGATATATATATATATATATGTATCGTGCAATCTACGTGGTGGAATGCATGTGGTGCAATATGTGTGGTGCCACGTACGTGGTGCAGTTTGCGTGGTGCATTATACGCGGTGTGATTTATGCGGTGCGAGCCATGCTGCGCGATCTATGTCGTGCAATCCATGTTGGGCAATGCAAGGCAGCGCACAGCAACGCACAAAAAAATCAAAGCAACGCAAAACAAGATATGCGGTGTGATCTAACGGCGGCGACAAAAGCGGCGACAAGCCAGCGGCAGCGGCCACATAGCCGCCAGACCGAAGGCACGGCCCAGACGACGGGCGGCGACAAGGCGTCGACGGGGCGGCGACGGGGCGTCGACGGGGCGTCGACGGCGGCCACAGCCGCCATACGGAAGATACGGCTCAGACGACGGGCGGCGACGGGGCGGCGACGGCGGCCACAGCCGCCAGACCGAAGACACGGCCCGGACGACGGGCGGCGACGAGGCGGCGACGGGGCGGCGAAAGGGCGGCGACGGTGGCCACTAAGTGCAAGCATTTTGGGGGGAATTACCCGCTAGACGCACGCCAGATTGAGCGCGCACGCGACGTCATCGGGAGAGGCTCACCTTCATCGCTGCGGTGATTTGCGCAAGACGGGCGCCTCCCTTCGATCAAATGGAGCAGTTCTATGTCATGTCTGGCACGGCGATGCATGTGCCGATTCCGACGCCGAGAGCACGACGACGATGACTAAGACGAGGACGACGACGACGATGGCGAAAACGACGACCACTGCCACCACAACCCCACACCACCAGTGGGCACCGGCACCCCCTCACTCCCCCCCCACCCCACCCCACTCCCACACGGGGGGTTCTGGGTCCTCGGCGGCCCCCAGTGCGCTCGGTACGAAAACTTGTGGAAAGGGGCAGGGGGTGTTTTCATATCTGTGTGTGAGTACACATAGTTAGCACCCCGCATTTGAGGATGAAGAGTGCGGGGGCGGCGGCGGGGGCGAAAGGATTTCCCCCATGCATTGCCCCCAGGTGTTGCTCCCACGTTTTCCCCCCGTGCGTTGCCCCCATGTTCTGGCCCCAAGTATCGCCCACATGTATTGCCCTGGAGTATCGCCCCCGAGTATTGCCCACGAGTATCGCCCCCATGTTTTGCTCCCGTGTACTGCCCGCATGTACCACCCCGATGTATCGGTCCCATCTTTTGTCCCCACGTTGTGCCCCCAAGTGTCGCCCCCATGCACCGCCCCAAAGTATCGCCCACATGTGTTGCCCCCAAGTGGCGCCCCCATGCATTGCCCCCAAGTATCGTCCCCAGAGGCGGAGCCTTCCATCTAGCCACGCGCGCGCAGGGAAGACGTAGGACCGTTCGGACCCCCCACTCTGACATACCTGTTGCGTCGGCGGCCAGGCAGGGGACGCCTGCGCTGGCGATGGATCAGGCCTAGGCCTACACGGGGATGCCGTTAGAGCGAGTTGTGCCACCATGCAAGAGGAGGAGCGGGGGCAGGGCGCGGCCAGGAGTACGTAAGCAGCATATGGCCGAGGGCCGGGCCCGTGTCGGGCCTCGGGTCCCCCCCGCCCCCCGCGTTCCTCGGGTGGCCGTGCGGCGGCACTTCCCCACGCTTGGCCGCAGTAAAAAAGGTGTCCCGCGCGTCGGGGGGGGGGAAGGGGTCTCCCCTCTCCCTGTCGGCAGCATCCTGCTGGGGATGGCTGGTGGGCGGGAAGGGAGGGGCCCCGCGCGAGGCGCCGTGCGGGGGGAGCGTCGGTCGCCGACGCCGTGCTGGTGAACGTGGTGGCCGAGCACATCTGCACCGAGGCAGGGGCCTGCGGCCTCGCTCGCCAAGGGCCTGAGCCTCCCCTTGCTCCGAAAAGATTGCACACATCTTGCCCTTCTCCTATTGTGTTTCCTCTCTCTATGCATGTGTACATATACATGTAAATATATATATATATACAAGACTGCAGTGGCGCTTCGCGCCATGCCCCTTGCTCTGAAACTATTGCTCCTCCGCCCGCTCACGCCACAACCACCACCACTACGGTCCTCCACCCAATCATCATCAGATCGCCATACTTCCTCCTCATCCTCCTCCTCCTCGTGCCTCTCCTCCTCCTCTGCTCATCATCCTCCGTATCATCCTTCTCAGATTCCCCCTTCACGATTACACAATACAATTACTGCTTTCCTCCCACACCTGACTCTGCCTGGAAGAGAGTCGGCCTTCTCCGCGTAGTGTTTCTATTTACGCAAAGGGTTTCAAGAGGTGGCTTCTCTCAAGGCTGTTTGCTTACAACCCCGT